CTCCAGCTAAAAGGGTTTGGTGTTCTCCATCCTTTCTCCCACTTTGCTTACCTTCATCCTCAGACAGATGCCTCTTGCTTTAAAAGTTGGATTTAACTACATGTTTTAGGGTTCTTGGTCTTTGTAAAGGGAGAGACCAGACAGCCATCATTGAGCCTGTTGCTTTCCTGGTGAGCAGTTGGGATGAGTCCACCAGAGATCCAGCCGCGTGTGGCCGCAACTTTGTCTTCCCTGGCCCTCGAGGCAGTGTGTGGATGTGTGTGTGTGGTATTTATGTGTGCCCTGCACTCGTGAATGTATGAACTGGAGAAAGTTACTACAGGGGAGGGTTCTTAATAACAAGGTCTACCTAGCATGAAATATTTAACATTCTCCCATCCCTTAAAAAATATACATTTTTATAAAATGAAAACCATAATAAATGTTTTGAATATTAAAAAAATTAACCTACAGAAGGAAATTAATGGAGAAAGCTATTTGCCTTGTACTTTTTCCACAATTGTTGCTGCTAGCTGTACACACCTCTAGTTCAGCTCTTGCCCATGGGACACTCATCAATTAGGTTTCATTTTTATTTTTCTCCTCCACCCTCAGAAATAAGCCCGTTAATTTTTTTCCCTTCTCTGGCAACTGTGTGGTGAATCCTTCCTTGCGTGATCAGGTTGCGGATAGACTTGTAAGGGTGTTGCTGCATACAGTGTAAGCATTGTGACCGCCAATAAACTCCAATGGTTTCTACTGACCTGGTTTCAGCGCTCTAGTGTGTGTCTAGGGACCTGTCTCTTTGTGAACACGCAGTGGGTTTTCAAACATGGATTCTTAAAGCCAGCGGATGGCAGATGCTGTTCAGCCATATAAGATTATAATATTTCTATCAGACTGAGTCTAATTCAACTTCGTGTAAAACTATAGTTAGTTCAGTTGACGTCCATACAGTGTGGCCTGTTTTCCACCGCTGTAAAAGTGAAACCACTTTGTCCAAACCTCTGGGTGATGACATGGCCACTTGCAAACTAGTAGTAACTGAAGAAAACCCAGCTTTGTTAACAGTGCCTCACCCCCACCCCACACTCCTCTGATGTGGGCTGGGCTACACTCAGGAGAGGTCCTAGGCTCCGGGGCACATGCAGCGCCCTGGAAGACTACAGGCCCCAAGGGCCAGGCTTCACAACGAAGGACCTTATTTGAGGGACTCCTGATGCCTGTACCACGCAGTGCCTAAGCGTGGCAGCTTCTTTGTCAGGAACTCTGGAGCTCAGGCATAGGGAGGCTGTGAACCTTACCACAGCTATCTCCAGTGACTCCAGGGCACCAGAGAGCCTCTCCTGCTGCGTTCCTTAGATATACTGATACCTTTTGTGATGTTTCAGCCTTCTGGGAACAGGTGTCACTTTCTCAGCCCTGAAGTGTTTTGAAGGCAGAACATTTTACCAAAAAGCCAAGTAGAATGGAGCATAGATAAATTCCATCTCTAAGCCTAGTCAAAAATGGTACCATTTCATTCTAATTCTGAAGAAAATGAACGAGAAATTCACTATATGTAACAGCATATATGACTGTAATCCCTACATTTGTGAGGCTGAAGCAGGAAGATCACAAGTTCCTGCTCAGCCTAGCTACAAATGACAAGACTTTCTCAAAAATAGTAACTTTCAGC